TAATAATAATAATAATAATAATAATAATAATAATAATAATATCATCTCCACCTTCTGGTTGCAAGCACCTAGAAGCATTGGTTGGGCATTATCAGAAAGAAAGCTGGACTCTCCTTTCCTTCTGATGATTTCTCTGTGGAGGGTATTGACTTAGCAGCGGCTCTTTTATATCCCTTTATAAAAATGCACTCTCAGATTTTGGGCATCTAAAATAGTGTTTGCAGTATTCCTGACTGTGTTTTTGCTTATTGGAGCAAAGCATTCCTCAGCTTGTAGTGGGTGGTATATAACCCAATTGAGCACTTGGGCTTTTAAAATACAAAGTTTCCATAGCAACATCTCCTTTTCTGATTCACGGAAGCCAGCCATCATCTTTAATTGATTTGACCCGACTGTTCTTTTTGCAGGTGATTGAAGAAATTGAGGAAATGATGCAAAATTCACCTGACCCTGAAGAGGAAGAAGAGGTTTTAGAGAAGGATGACGGTGGGGACACAAGCAGTCAGGCTGATTCAGTCCTTTTGCAAGAGATTCAGGCTTTGTCGCAAAGCCTGAACAACAACTGGTCATGTGAAGGTAAGAAGGTGTGGAGAATCGAAAGGAACGTATCTCCTCTCTCTCTGTAAAGTGTCGTTGTCCTCTGACAGCTAGTTTGTACAACTATCACTGTAGCTTTACCATTTCAGACTGCAGCGGAGGAATTCAGATTCTCTTCTCTGAGAGGGTGGGTAATGCCCAGGCACACATATTTATAAATATTGTATGGCGAACAGTCATGTTTGAGGGAGAAACACGTGTCTCAACCAATATACAAATCGCCACTGGCAACTTCATGTGATCCAGTTCAGGGTAATATTGATTCAGCTGTGTGAAAAAGCCCACTTCTTTCCACTCAGATAGCGAGGAGGTTAATGGGGTGATGATGCTAGAATTGCACGATCTACCTTCTGCTTCCAGAAGCCAAACTGCCAAGTGTACAAAACTCAATGAAACATTTAGCAGAGACAGACCTCTTTCTGTTGTGCAGCTGCTAACATTTCCCTTCGGCTGTCTTGTCTTTGTAAACTTGTAACGTGGGTGAGAACGGCTTGTTTCTCTGATATGCAGGTCTGTTGGGGTTATTAGGCATTGTCTGCCCCCAAAGTGGAATTGCACCAATGAAAAAAGAAAGTAACGATATGGATTTGCACATAAATGACAATATTCTATTCTATTCTATTCTATTCTATTCTATTCTATTCTATTCTATTCTATTCTATTCTATTC